TATTTCTTTTCCTTTTCCTTTTTTTTTTTTTTGCCCTTTTGATGTCACATTTTTATTTCCGTCTTCCGCTCTTATTCTACCAAAGGAATCTTGATTAAATTTAAAAAAAAAAAAAACAAATGAAAGTATTCATCAATGCTATGAATCATAAACTTATTACACAACAAAATATCAAAAAGAATGAAATTTTCTCTATTAAAATTTCTTAACCAATCATCTGCATATGATTCAACCAATAATTAGTTTTCAATTTATTTCAATCTGACAACGATATCGTTTGGATTATAAAACTTAAATAGATTGAAATTTACTCAAACAAATAATCAGATCATAATAATTAAGATAATCAATAATCATAATAAGCAATAATCAAGTACTAAATTGATATTACCAAAATATGAAATGTAATATTTCCAAAAAAAAAAAACAAGTACAAAATATCATAGCATTATCAAGAAATAATTTCATATGTCCTTCCATCATATAAATATTTTATGCAAAGTTCTAATTATTAAATTTAGGAATAACTACTAGGATTTTAATAGATACAAAGGAATTATAAATAAATAGATCATCTATAGCAAACTATATGTCAAGATAATTACCGGAAATTTAGTTGAAATGAATCCGGAAAACAAAAAATGAAGTGAACATAAGAGAAGATGGCAAGCATTCTATTCAAAGATAATGACAAAGATAGTTCATTCAAATGGAAATGCAACTCTTATTTTCAGTAAATACTTTTATTATCACAAGTTTTTACAGTTTATTTAACCCCTATAATTGTCATTGTAATTAATAGAATCAATTGAAACTGTAAAGTATTTATGAAGAAAATTACAAATGGTAGGAAAAAAAATTTTAATTACCAAAGTTGAAATTTTATTCAAAAATTACGCAAACTTATAAATTCAATAAGAAAAAATAAATGATAAAATGTTAAAAACAAGAAAAAAAAACGAAAATAAAAAAAGAAGAGGTCAAAGAAAAAATATCATCATGTTATAGCAATCGTATGATAAGCATATGACGCAATGCAATCACTAAATCTCACAGTAATTTTGAAATGATGAACATAAACTTTCGAATTGAAATTTTATTAAAAAACTATTGAAATTTTTTGATTTAATTTTCATTATCATAACATGAATAATGATTTGATAATGAAATGAAACATATGACAAGATGAGAATATAATTGATTATTTCAGATGACAAAATATAATTGACTATTGCAGTTGACAACTATTCCTTATTTTACCATCTTCTACTTCGTCCTCTTTTTTCTCTCATATACCTTCCTTCCCTTCAATTTTTCTAATTTTCATTTTCTGCTATTTAAGCTAAAATAAGTAATGATGTATTCAAAAGTTTTGAAAATTTTGAAAATATACTTACAAATAACTTTGTTTTTTTAATTATTAATTAATTAAAAATTATTAGAAAATACTTTATGCGAGATTTTTTTTTCTTTTTCATTTTACTTTTAGCATTTAAAAAATCATGTGTTGAAATTTTGAACTATAATTTTCCGTTTTTTTTTTCCTATTACAAAGATGGACAATCTTTTATCCAATGTTCATTCAACAAAAATTCATACAAACATATGACAAAGTTATGAAAGGAGAGAAGAAGTACAAGCAAGCTTATGAATGTCTGGAATTGTAAAAGTTAGAACAAATTTTAGGTTGAAAAAAAATGAAAATACAAAAATAAAAATTTAAAACAAATTTTAAGTTTGAAAAAAATTAAAACACAAAAACAAAAGTTGACGCAAATTTCAGGTTAAAAAGAAATTAAAACACGAATACAAGAATTAGCACAAATTTTAGATTAAGAAGAAGTGAAAACACAAAAAAAAGTTTACGAAAAATTTTAGGTCTAAAAAAAAAAGGAATTAAGGCGCAAAAATAAAAGTTGAAACAAACTTTAGGTTAAAAAGAAATTAAAACACAAATACAAGAATTCATGTAAATTTTAAGTTAAAAAAAGTTAAAATACCGGAATAAAAGTTGAAATAAATTTTATCTTTTGCAAATGTTTCTTTTTGAACGTTGAAACTTTTTGTTGTTCTTTTTTTTCGGTAAATGGAATAAGTTAATGAACGAGTAAAATCTAACAGACTTTTTTTTCCGTCTTTTATATACTTCTGAGAAAAAAAATTTAAGCTTTTATAATTAATTATACATATATTTTTTTGGAAATTAATCAAATTCAGGTATTGAGCTTTCAGGTAGACACAAAAAAAAAATGTGTTGCTTTAAATTATTTCAAATTATTATTATCACTACAGAATGGATTTATGGATAAATTTTAAATAAGATAGCTCTCTCTTAATGGTTGACAAATATGTGAATCATTAGGAAATATGTCATAAATATTACATCAAATAACAATAATAATTTTGAAAAAAAAAAGAAAGAAACATTTACCGTATACTTACAAGCACTTCTAACATTTATCGTACTTATAACATCTACCGTATTTACAACATTTATGGTACTTAAAGCATTTGTCATGTTTGCAATATTTACCGTACTTATAATATCTATCATACTTAAAAAGAGAATGAAGGAAATTTTTTGTATATTTACTTATTATTTTTAAAAATTATTTTAAAAAAAAACTTTTTTTCTTCAATTTCATTGAAGAATTTCAAACATTTCAAATGTTTTCCAAAAAAAAAAAAGAAAAAAAAGCCGACAAAATATCAAAAAAGACCAAATGTTTACTTTATTCGACATATTTTTTTTCCCATCTAATATACCATTTCTACAAGTTTTCCCACATATATCAGAATTGAATTANAAAAAATTGT